AGAGAGAGAGAGAGAGAGAGAGAGAGAGAGAGAGAGAGAGAGAGAGAGAGAGAGAGATGGCGCCGGGGGTGAGGGCACTAACGGGTAGCAAACTCCTCTCTTTCCCTCTCTCTCTCTCGCACACACACACAGGCACACACATTTACAGGGATATGCTGTTCATTCTCTCTCCTCTTCTTCATAAGTTGAATGATTTTGTGTATTTTAACTTCGTTTTGGAAAGAGTTTTTGAGTATAGGTTGGTATACTTGTTTTCGAAAGAAGACTCTATACAAATTGTTATTTTTAAAATGCATGGCCCTGTTTGTCTATCATAAAGCGAATTTGAGAGTCAGCCTTGATGGCCTCCAAACGTTCTATTTCATGGTCGCATCTGCAAACGAGAATTTGGAACCCAGATACTTTACTTTGCTCCCCTTCATTGTGGTTGACCGAGAGTCCACAGGAGACTACTATGGGAGCTCCGAAACCAATCCCGAAGCCAAGATTGATTTTCCCGCAGTTCTTTTCATGTTTGCCTTTGGGTTCTCTTTAGGCAGTAAGTGCAACCATCTAAACTCTATGAGCAACTTGTCAGAAATTGATCTTAGATTTCTGGCATTATATTATAGTGGACTCCTTCCTGAGCCTTTGAGAACATCTCCTCTTCTTCTTTTTTGGCAGGTAGTCTTTGTCGCTCCCAGAAGACGGTCTCCTCTCCTTCCCTCCTTGTCTAAGCGTTTACTCCCCCGTTCGTTGTCAAGCTCGTGTTTTCTTGTTTTTTTTTTTGTTGCCTGTCCCTGTGCATGAGCTGCAGATCTTTCTTGTTTGTCGTGTGTTCTGCCTCCAGCCCTGCCGGTTGTGCTTCTCGTTGCGAAAGAAACCTCGTGTGAACGTCCCCGAAGCTTCTTGCTCAGGGACCCTGTACAGCAGGACTCTCTGCTTTGAGATGCAATCGGCAGATCCTGTTGTGAACGTTCGCAGGAGCCGCCCCTTGCTCAGGGACCCTCCCCAGCTTCCATGTCCCTTGTCCCGAAGACTGTCCCCAGGTCCCTTTTCTCAAAACTCGCCTGTCCTTCTCCCCTCTCCTGCCCTTCTCTCTGTCTCTGTCTCCGTCTCCGTCTCTGTCTCTCTCTGTCTCTGTCTCTGTCTGTGTCTCTGTCTCTGTCTCTCGCGCGCGCTCTCGGTTTTTGCTTTTGTTAGCCTGGTAGTAGGAATCCGAGAACCTCCTGCGCATATGTATATATGTACTATGCATATTTTGTTTTGTTCTTAAATTTGGTATTACCACTTCTTCACCTGCATTTTCGAAGAGACGAAAGGGAAGGCCCAAGCCGGCGAGAGGAGGAGGTCCCACGGCTGACTGACGCGGGAGAGAATACTACAGCAAAAACTATAGCCGTACTTGATGCAATTTCCTGGGAAGATACGGTCGCACTACGATAAACCCTGGAAATTTTCTTCGGGGAAGTTCGGGGTAAGAAACGGAGCCCAGTTCTTACGTCGCATGCAGTCAGTCATAGACCGTCTAGATCAATACCCACCCCAGCACTTTCCTAGATGTTTTTGACAGCAACTACGCCCGTACTGGACGTATCTGACAGCAATCACGTCCACAATTTGTCGAAGAAAAAATCCTACCTGTGTCAATATGCCCTCAATCGCACGTTCACGTCATGATGACAAACACTGTCCTGTCTTGAGTGCCCGCTTTGTCTACGGGCTACCGGTCGCAGCAGTACAAGCCCGGTCGCAGCAGGGTCAAGCGTTGATTGTCAGCCGTCGAGATCATCGATCTGCATGACCGGTAGCTAAAGCCAGCACTCCGTACACCTGTGTTTTTTTTTTTTGGGCAGGTCAAACTCAATTCCGAGCCAATCAACGATCTGTACGGCAGCCAACCAATCGGCAGCTCGTTCTTTTTTTTTTTTTTATTAATTTTAACCTTATCCTCATGTTGCTACTCGGCCTGGTCTGCGGGACGATTAAGTTTACTACTTAACCGGTCTTCGTTCTCCCCCCCCCCCCCCCCCCCCCCCCCCCTCCCTCCCCGCCTCCCTCCATCCACCCATCCATTCATACATTCCTCCTTCCCCTTCCTCTCCATTCATACATTCCTCTTTCCCCTTCCTCCCCCCCCCCCCTCCTCTCTTTCCCCTTCCCCTTCTCAAGGACGACGGGCCTGAGGTATCATGATGGAAGTGGCCGGTCCCAGGCAATTCGGAGTTATTTTTTTCCATTAATCTGACGAGATAACATCGGGATTCCGACTTCGGTCTGTTTTCTTTGTCAACAGCTGATGGGTGCACTATTCACCAGCCGCATGGGTTGGGTGATTTTTCATTTTTATGCGTGTCATCCTTGATTGCGCAGGGGCCATGCTAACCTCTTTTTTCAGTATCGTTCCGATTTTAACAGATAAATGTCCCGAAGGACGATTTTTCATTTTTGCAAACAGGGGTCTGTAATGGTCAGACATAAGTAATGGTTGTCTGCTCAGAGAAACGGACAGAGAACCGGCATCTGTCGAGGTTGTTCTGGACATTGTGTAGAAATAGAGGAGATGGAAAAAAAAAAGTTTTGAGGTTGTAGGCCACCGAAAAAAGGGAGGAACCACAAAAAAAGGAAAGAAGAAAAGGAGAAAACAAAGAACCAGGAGGATGAGGCTGGAGCCGTACATCTGTCGAGATCTGGAGTCTCCCCTGCTCCCTCCCCATGACCCAGTTCTGACGAGAAGCAGCTTCTGGTGTAGCCTTGGTCCCCCAAATAGAACGCAGGGTTACGCGGGCAGAACGCTTCTTTATTTCCGAATTGAACGCGCTCGTGTGAGAAAAAAGAAAAAAAGAACGCCCCTGTGTGGGTAGACTGTTTCTCTATTTCCGAATAGAACGCACGCCACGCGGGTAGAACGCGTCTCTATTCCCGAATAGAACGCGCTTATGCGGCTAGAACGCTTGGAACCCTGATGATGGGACTCGGGAGTCGCCGCTTATCGTCCACATATCATCCATCCCTCCCCCCCCCCCCCCCCCCCCCCAAAAAAAAAAAAAAAAAAAAAAAAAAAAAAATCATTGCGATTGTTTATCAGAATATCATTGTTAAGTTATGGAAATTCAGAAAACTATCAATAAAGTCAGTAGACCTTTCTATTTTCTTTTTTTTTTGGATCCGGGTTATACTTAAATTTCTCATGCATGCATGCACGTACAGTCAGTGGTTATTTATGATTTCTTGATTGAACTTGCCCAGTCATCATCGAGGGTGGGAGTGACGCCCAGTCATCAGAAGAGGGGAGACGTGGACCTGTTGATCGATTGAATTATTGATTGATTGAGACTTGCACCCTCTGTCCCGTTTTCGTTGGCATCGGGGTGAGCGGGCTGAGCGGACGGATAACCTTTTCCTTCCTTGCGCCCCTTCGCAGCTCGTAAAGCCGTTATAGATAGAGGTAGTTAATATGGATAAGGTATTTAATAAGAGTCAGGATTGTGAGAGGAAAGTGAAAATCGCGGTATTCACGCAATTTCTGTTGTTCTTGATCACATCTTTCGCTCGTCGTC